AGTCTCCAAAACAGGTTGGAAACATCCAAACTGCCAACTGGGGATTGTCCATGACCTGTGCCAACTCCTGCGTTGCTGGCCCAGGAGAGCTGGTTGTTCCAGAGAGCGTGCCAAGGATTTAACTCCACAGGCAGTACTCCTAGTACCCCATATGAGACTACACCAACAAGAGCTTGTCTCCTTGCCTGGAGACACAAATCCCTGCAACTCAGAGGTTGCTTTATCATGGTGGACAGAAGAGGTTGAGGCAATGCTCCCTCACAGCATTTCTTTAGCACTGCCTACTATGGAATAAGAGATTGCAAAGAGACCCCTCTTTCACCTGCAGCTGCATCTGCCTCATCACAAGCTCACCAAGATTCTGTTTTCTGTCTGCACAAAGACTAGAGAGACCAAAGAATCTTGGAAAAGTTCTGTCGAGTGGCATGAGTGAAGGTAAAATGTGTCTCTGCATAAACTATGCAAGTTAATCTTCAGTCAGTGCAATCAGGATAGTTACAATCAATTAGAACATGTGCTTCATCAGTAAGCTTGGTTAGGCTATAACTGCTATAACGGGCTTCATGTTGGCACCCACTGGGATGTCCTATTGCACTTTACAGTTCCCACCTCCCCCTGTTACACGCTTCCCAGATAGAGCCAGCCCCATCCACGAAGCTCTCAGGAAGCTGAGAGGAAGGCCCCAATCATGTCGGAAGCACCTCTTAGAAACAAAAATAAAAAACCCATGTCCATCTACCTCCTTCTGTGGCCGGGTGATGACAGCTTTGAAGTCTGGCCATGAGTCTACCACCACCTCATTCCTGAAAGGGTTGCCTCGGTTGATGTTCATCACAGCCCCATAAACCTGCAGGATGAACAGCCAAGAGAAAAAAGACACTTTGAGACACACTTACATGGCACCAGGGCTATAAACCAGAGACTGAACCAGTGACAAGGAGCTGAAAACACACATTTAGATTTTCATAGACACACATCTATCCCCTAGGTTGATACCTACACACTCACTCGTAAGACGTACTATCACATAGATAAAGCATTGTCTAATTATGCCAACCCTAATTACTTTGGAGAGGAGGTGGACCTGTTTGCTTCCATTTTTATCTTAAGTACATGGATTTGGGTTAGTAAGCAGAGCCAAATCAATATCTTAGATGTAGTGATCTAAACAGTGAATCAGTCAGTCCAGAAGAAGCACAACCATCTCCCCACAGCTTTGATCCCCTGACAAATGTCCTGATTCACTGATGGAAATGCCATGAAAACAACAGGTCAGCGCTACGTTACCTTGAGGGACTCAGGGAAACTCCACCTTAGCATTTTCTCCAGCATCTGCAGCTTCATGGAGCAGTTGAGCACCAGCATCTTCCTTGTTGGGGACACACACAAGGTACAAAGAGTCACTCAGAGAGAAGCAGTAATGTGGAGGAACTGATTGGCATAATTGCTAATTTCATGAAATACAATGGCTCCGATGAGTGCCCTGTTTCAACATTTTCCTACGGAAAGTGTTTCGGGAATAATTCCTTATTTTTCAGTCAACAGATGTGCAGAGAATAGGAAGACAGGATGGTGTTTGGCAGAGCAAGTTGGAGTCAGAAAATCTGGGCTTAATTCGCTATTCTACACCAGGTTTGTTGTGCAACATCAGGCAGGTCACCGGGAAGACACTATACAGCTGCTACAGAGGTCCTGATCCAACAGAGAGATCACAAGTAAGACAACAATCAGGTGTTATTGAATCTGATTTTCCTGGTTTTCAAGGAAATAAAAAGCATCCACATACTACCAATATTGAAGGGTCTTAGAATTGATGACTTAACTCGTCAGCGCTATATATTAACCTTTTAATTGACTTTCTACTGCAAGTTAGTCGAGGAGTCTTTCCAAGATTGCTGTTACCACTGATCCGTTACTCATAGAAGGTGGCTTCTGTTTAATTATTCTTCATATAATGTGCCAATCTGGCCATTTTCTTATTTTGTTTAATTCTACAAACTCAACAGCATGTTTATTTTTCTAAAGGTTTTGCATCCTGTAACAGGAATCTTCCTTCCACATTTCGATTTCAAACATTTAGTCCAGTTTCCAAGGGACAAGGTTTTGACTAACAGAGAAACAACGCAATTAGTCAACACTAATTGCCTCTTGTTGTTGTCCTCAGCAGACAGATTAGGGGTTGAATAAACCATAGCATTAAGCAGCACTTACACAGGCAACCTGCTCCCCAGGTCAGGGCAGAGATATGAGAACAGAGGGAGACAGTGAAGCTCAGGCTGCCCACTAAGACGCCTATGCCTTAGATAAGAAAATATCTTCCAGCATCCAAGGGATCCTCCATCAGCTTCAAGCCCTCCCCTTGCTCCTTGCCTTGCTTCACTGAATATAATAATTAAAAAAAAAATTTAAAATTAACCCTTTCTATGATTACATGTGCATACTTAAATATATTAATAAGGTGTAATGACAGGACAAGGGGAAACGGTTTTAGATTGGAAGAAAAAAGATTCAGATTAGATGTCAGGAAGAAATTTTTTTACTATGAGGGTGGTGAGACACTGGAACAGGTTGCCCAGGGAAGTTGTGGATGCCCCATCCCTGGAGATGTTCAAGGCCAGGCTGGATGGGGCTTTGAGCAACCTGGTCTGGTGGGAGGTGTCCCTGCCCATGGCAGGGGGGTTGGAACTGGAGGATCTTTGAGGTCCCTTCCAACCCAAACCATTCTATGATTCTATCTTGAAGCTCACACCCCGTTTTTCTCACCGTGTTCAAGGAGAAAATTGCCTCTGTGTCCCAGAGCACCAGTTCAAAACCAGGCAGGATGGATCTTTGAGCAACCTGGTCCAGTGGGAGGTGTCCCTGTCCATGGCAGTGGCATTGGAACTTGATGATCTTTGATGTTCCTTCCAACCTAAACCATTGTACAATTCGACATGCAACTGTATCTAAAGGCAGTGCTGATACAAGTTTGAATACCTGCTACTTCTCCTTCAGGACAGTTCTTACACCTCTCTGTCTGGAAGTACTTTCAGATTGGAAACAAACATTGCACCAACAGACCACCCAGTCCCTTACCTGCTGGCAGGCTCGTAGCTCCTCCTTCCAAATCGCAATAAGCTGAAAATCAGGAGACAGTAAAATGCTTTGTGGCTGCTTCTGCGTGAGGAACGGTAAAAGTCCCCATTCAGAATCTTACAGCTATAAAAATATCATTTTATTGATCAAAATTCTTCTAAACTGATGTACTGTTCCTAAAAGCTTTCTTCTTTTGTGGAGCATGGAAATAAAAGCCGGAGCCAGCCACACCTTTGTAGGAGGAGGGACTCTGTAAGCCCAGCGAATAGTGCCAAAAGGCTTGTTCAAAAGTAGAGGCTCTAGTGAGAACCTTCAGTTTTGTCATTAAGACATTTGATCTCCTTGCATTCACGGCGATGAATGATCTGCTTTGCACATACGTATAATTATGCTTTTTCTTCTCAGTGGTGGTAAAATTAAAGTGGTCCCTTCTCTTTCTCAGTGCTGGGCTTCACACCATGAGGGAATGAGGAGCTCGAGATAAACTGAGACACATTCTGCCCCAGAGGAAACCAGCCCAGCCAAGCAGCCCCGAGAATCATTCTGAGGCAGCAGCTCTGTTCACCCTTTGCCTGGGCTTTTGTTGGTCCTAGAAAGTCCATAACAGTAGTTAGATAGAAAGTTTGATGACAGTAGCCCATATTGTCCTTTTGATCTGGACTTGATAACCTAGAGCACAAGGCAGAAGAGGCAATAGGGAGGGAACACCGAAGTGTTATGGGAGAACACATGCAGAAAGATGCTTTATTTGAGCATAAGAGTTGATATGGATTGATATTATTTTATTTTTGTCATATTGCAAGGCAGAAGAGTCAATAGGGAGGGAACACTGAAGTGTTATGTGAGAGCACATGCAGAAAGATGCTTTATTTGAGATTTATTTGGATTGATATTATTTTATTTTTGTCATATTTGCACGGTACAACCACAGTTTTATACAGACAGCAGTAACGAGCAGTTACTCTATGTCAAATGAGATATTTATGACTAATATATTGAATATACATTAATATACATACAGAATATGATAGCAGAGACCTCGAGAAACAGATATATGGAATGTGGTGCAGGGACATACAGGTACGTGGTGACAACTGATGGGACACAGGAGAGGGGTAGGGATGGTAAGAGATGAGGGAGACCTTGGCATGGGACAACCTTCAGCTACGAAGATCTCACCAACAATCAGCTCGGGCAATACAGACCCAGACCTGGGCAAAAGGGTTTAGGAGTAATGAAGAAAGAGCATTTAACATACATAAAAGGCTAAGATGGCAGGAAAATATCAACCCATAAACTAGATTAGATTACTCTTGGGGGACTGGTTATGTCAGTGAGTGCTCCCCCTGCCAGGTTATCAAAATTTTGAGAACTATTTCTAAGTATTTATATACTTTTTGATGTGATTCAGCATAAAAGCAAGTACTTAGTCTGGTTTTCCTGATCTTATATGTAACAACTACAGAGAGCCTTTCAGTCTCCCATAGGAGAATAGAGATAATTAGCTCATGCCTCATTAAGGTACCAGCAGCTTCTAAACAAAAGGAAAAGTATTTGTGCTGTAAGTTAATATAAAGAGCACTGCTATCTTCTGGCAGATAATAAAAGCACTTTCTCCAGTCACATTAACTGAATCTTTTAAGGAAGAAGGTCTATCATGGAGAAAATGGAGGACAGATTAAAGTGCACGAGGAAATAGACTTTTGACTTAATTTTCTTTCTCTAAGGCTAAAGAATATCTGGCAGTTAATAAAATATAAGGCAAGTACACAACTCTGAGACAGAGCTTTGCTTTATAACATTCTTACCTGCTTTCCCCAACCGTCTGGATAAATCGGGTGTGAATGCCATCTTTTAAAGTTTAAGCAGTGAACATGAAAAAGTAAAAAAAACCCTTGTGCATTTGATAAAAATCATTCATATTCTGGCCATGGAGAATTTTTATTTAAAAAAGGTAAGAAAGTTGAAACGTTGATTTGCAACTGAACATTAGATATGCATATTTTTTACTATGTGTTTTGGGTTTAAAGAGCATTTAACTCCAAAACAAAAGTTAGTTTGGTAAGAGATACGACCTTCACCAATTTACAGATACAATATAAAAGTCCAAATATAATGGAATATGTTGCCTTATTCTATAAAAATACCCAGATAAACCCAGGATCCATTTCCCTCCCTCCTCCTAAAAGAATATACATCATTAGAAGTCATCACAGGTCTAACCCCACCCTCCTCCAAATAAAACCCCTCAATTGGTCACTTAAATCACTAGAGTTCCAGAATGTATCTACAGATTTATATACCAATATTTGTAGAAAATGTTTTAACAGAAATTCAGCAGTCACAACAGCAAAGCCATTAGGAATAAAACCACGATGAGCATCCTGATGCTCTACATTAACACAGGATGATGGCAAAGGTTATCCTCGTCAAAGGAGACCCCATATATTTTGGTTTCTCAAAGGAAGTTCACCTTCTCATAGGTTTTTTCAATGAGGGTTAACATGTTCTTCAAATCAGCTGACTGCTGAATAGTGTTCATATCCTTTAGAAGTTTTTCCCGATTTTTAATCTTCAAAATTTCTTCCTAAAGAAGGAAAGAAAATAACTGAGAACAAACAAAACATAAATTTCTGTTGGACTCGATGAAAGTTAACTTTGTAGGTACAACTAGGTTGCACAAACCAGTAAGGATAAAAAGTATTCAAAGACACAGATCAGGCAGTCTTCCTTCCATCTGTTACAAAGATAAGTTTCCGAAATAACAGGTCCCCTTGGACCACAGGGCTCCTAGGAGGAGGCATGTAATCCTTTAAATGGCAAGTTTTCTAGGTTTTGTTCTGTTTTTAAAACATGAGCATATAGTTCTCAATGAAAAGAAAAAAAGATAAAAGTTTTAGATATTTCCAAGTTTTCAGAATTGTCCCCTCTGCCAGTGGTTAAAGTGACAAAAGCCATTCTGTTGCCTTTCTTCTCATAGCCAAGGTGTCTCTGAAAATATATTCCATGCTCACCTGCAAAGTGGGTGCCTGGAAACTGCGTTTGGGGAGTTCCGGAAGGAAAAGCGCTTCACCATCATTTTCCCTGAACACCTAGAAGGCAAAAAAGGGAAAAAACAAACAAACAAAAAAATCCACACCCAAACATTAGGCACCCTAGTAGGAAAATCAACTGGCTGTCATTATCCAACTTCTGAAACCTAAATTTCTTAATTTTGCAACTGAAGTTGGAAAGATTGAAGAGATACATTCCCAAAGACAACCAAGACCATCCTTATATGACGCTCTCTGCGAAAACAGCTTGGGTGTGACAGCTCTAGAAACACCTTCTCCTTTAAAGAATGGAGCAACATCCATTGGAAATACCTTTTTGGCCTTTTGTTCATCTTCCTCTAACTGCCTGTTGAGCACCTGGATTTTGTACTGCAGCTGCTGTATGTGTTCTTTGGTGCGTTCTGCTGATTGCTCAACTTCATTTATTTCTTCCTAAGTCAAAACAGACACAAAAGCAGAGCAAAATTTACTTTAGAGATGGTGAAGCTTTTGCTTATAAAATACTAATAATCAGCATCAGCTGAGTCACTGACAAACCATCCAAAAAGACAAACTGCTTTGTAGCAAAGGTGAGTGATGATAAACAGTGGACATCTCTTGCACAGCAGCACGGACATAGCCAGCAGTCCATCTACTAAAGAGTTACAACACACTGAGAAGCAGATAAGTAAGAGATTTTCTTCCTTTCATACCTGCAATTGTACCAAAGATTCTTCATTTGTCTCCAGCATTTGTTTCTCTGCCATTTGAAGGCTCGGGATATTCTTCATGTTGCCCAGCTTCCCTGGAGGCACCTTTAAAGTCTTGAAAGATCTCAGCACCCTTTATTATAGAAAAAGGAAAGCATGACTGGTTTGGAGTTCTTTGCAAAACCAAAAGGAAACTGACTAATGACCTCTCTGGGGAAAAAAAAATAAACTCAATTTAACCCAATTGCTGTCAGTGAAGTAAAACGATCCAGGCAGGAAGAAAAGCTGTCTTGAATTGTTTTCCAAAAATCACCTTTAATAAAACTGGTGTTGTGTGGTTTCTATCCCATTGGCCTGTACACTCCCCGACTGTAATCTGACATTAACTAATATTTTCCCAGTTCTGACCTTTCTACTTTTCAAAGTAAAACTAAGTTCTAAAAGCAGCATTTTTAACTGCTTCCACACAAAATCATTTTAGTTAAATCTGTAAATGCTTTTGTGAAATACGGTATCTAGTTTTATGCCAGAGGACCAGTTAGTTTTAGCTTGCTCTCAGAGGTCTTTCTGATTCTGAGCAAGACTTGAATTCTTCCAAGTTGGATCTGTCTCTTAGATACACCAAACTGCCACAATTTTCATGCATCTCAGATGAGACTGCAGGAGTTTGGCAACTCAGAAATCAGGCATTAAAAACATTTAAACAGAAAAGAATCACAGAAGACCATTTATGAAAAACTAGTTCCTCATGTTTGTCTCCTGAGGTACTGTAAGAACAAAGAAAGCAACTTACAGGCTCAGGCTCTGTGTTGAGAAGAGCCTGGTACAATGACACACAGGGACACAAAAATTGTCAGGCACCCAGGCACACGTAATTGCTCCCACAATGACATAAAATGGCTGTAAGTTTTGCCCCAACATAAAATTTCAATTCTCTTTGAATTAACTTCAACAGCCAGAAGATGAATTAGCATTTAAGAAAATTTAGCTATAGCTGTTCCCACCACTACCATAAAAGGATAACAAAATAAACAGCTGCCCACAAATTTAAACCCTGTATAAATTCAAAGCTGATTAAAGGAGCTCTTAAGAACACCTCCTAGGTTCTGTCACTCACATAGAAGTAGTTAAAGCAGCTCTTTCAACAACTCTTGCTTGTCCACTGCAATGAATAAACCATCAAGATATTTCCTTCCTTGATTTTGTATAATTGTTCCCTTTTAAGACTTCGTAAATGTGATTTCTCTGAGAAGCAATTGTGTAAGCATGGCACAAAATGACTGGGTAAACTAATTCCCTTCTCTCCCCCTTTTTAATTTTTTTAAATTCTTATTTTTTACCTTTCTTTTAGTAAATTGAGGGGCTTCTGAACATCATCTTTTTTCACACTTCGTTGGCACAAAAGAGATCTGGAAAGAAAATAAAGGTAGAATTTTCATCACGAAGCCTGCAAGCACAGAGTACACATCAAGTGAAGTGAACAAAGTCAGAACTTCTCTAGCTAAAAAACATCCAACTTGAGATAGAAAGTGTTATAATACATTAGATAAAATATATACAGCCAGCCATATTGCCCAATAAAGCTCCAAAGCTTATCCAGTTCAAGCAATGTTATGCTTTTTACTTTATTCTGTCCACCAGCAATGAAGCTAGTGAGGTATGTGGAGAATAAGTCTTATGAGGAGTGGCTGAGGGAGCTGGGGTTGTTCAGTCTGAAGAAAAGGAGGCTGAGGAGAGACCTTATCCCTCTCTGCAACTCCCTGAAAAAAAGAGTGTAGAGAGGTGGGGGTCAGTCCCTTTTCCCAAGTCAGAAACAACAGGACTAAGAGGAAACAGCCTCAAGTTGCACCAGGGGAGGTTCAGACTGGATATTAGGAAAAATTTTTACAGTGAAAGGGTTATTAAGCCTTGGAATGGGCTGCCCAGGGAAGTGGTTGGGGCACCATCCCTAGAGGTATTTAAAAGACGGGTTGATATAGTGCTTAGTGACATGGTTTAGTGATGGTTTTTATCAGGGTTAGGTCGATGGTTGGACTAGATGATCTTAAAGGTCCCTTCCAACCTAGACAATTCTATGAAACAAAGAAGGACCACCAGGATATTTGGCACTTACAGTATTACTGAATCCATTAAGGTTTCCAGAAACCGCCTACTGGTCTCTGAGAGAGTCTGCCAAGACCCCATTTGAGCACTGGTTAGCTTCATCTTTTTGGAAAAACCTTTTTCTCCTGTTAACACAAAGTTAAAAAGGAAAAGATATGATTTGTCAAACCTGGATAGGCAGCTTTGTGACCCACCTCAGTCAGATTGTAGGAAGAGGTGTAACAGTTATGATTTTTTTCATGTCATAAAATTATCAGGACAAATCTATCCACAAGAGGTGCTACTTATTATTTGCAAGTAACAAGTTGTTTAAAAAAAGCACAAAATAGAAAACTTTCTTACAGCAGTTTCATTCTAAACAATTACTTTTCCAAAATCATTGGTGATACAAGTTAGAAAACCCAGAATGAAATTTAAAAAAAAAAAAAAGAGTGGGAATATATATAAGGTGAGAAACTCAACTCAATGTAGCAGAGGTCTTGTCTCATTTGTATGTTCAATATAACACATGCCAGTCTTAAGACAGGTTAATAGAGAAGACAGTGACCCATGAAGAGAAATTTAAAATGTTCTGGGTGGAGGAATTTTACAAGAGAAGAATACTACTTGTGACAAACGTATATGATTAATATGTGCATATACAACACCTACGAGACAGATGCACACTGGCTAACCATACTGCAAATACTCACTGTTACGGCTCAGAAAGAAAACTTTGAAACTTATTTCAGTGACACCTCAGACATCTATGATTTCAACATTGCAGTTCCTACTTTTACTTCCATTTTTTTTTCAAAACACTCACTTTGCTTGAGACAAAAATAAGGCAAGAATACAATCCTACCTGCAGGGGAATAGTCCTCGTCTTCCTGAGCTTTCCCTTTGACTGTCTGAGTAACCTGCTGAAAAGACAAATTTACAGCAAATATGGGAATATCGAAACACCCTATGCTGCAACCAAACATTTGGTTAATTAAACGTTTTCTATAAATTCCAGCAGAAAACTGGGCAAAAATGCCTTTTTTTTCCTTTGGTTACTTTTCTAAATTTGTTGATGCAAAATATTTATTACCTTTCTTTTTTGACCTTGCTTTCTTCCTTCTCCTTCTGTTCCCTTCTTTTTTCTGGAAGAGCCCTGTTGATTTTGTGATTTTAAGGCTTTTCTTGCTGATCCTTTACCAGGGGTCTCCCCCTTTTCACCGGAAGATGCGTGCCGGTGCTTCATTATCTGCAAACCAAAGGGAAGAGGAGGAAACAAACCAAAAAATGCTGGATGGGGCTTTGAGCAACCTGGTCCAGTGGCAGGTGTTGGCGGGGGGGGAACTCAATTGGGGGGTTGGAACTCAATGATCTTTAAGGTCCCTTCCAATCCAAAGCGTTCTATCATTCTGTGAAATGCCTCCCTATTTTCTAACCCTAAATCTTGCATATTTATCTAAGTGCAGGGCCACTAAAAAAGCATCCCCCCTTTGCCTTTCAGACAAGTCTTGGGGTGTTCAACCATTTCTTTTTAAATTTAAAAGATGGCAGCTCCAAGGAACAGCAATGGCAACACAACAGTAACTGCACCGGGAACAGTCTTAGTTGTTCTTAAAGGCCTCCAACAATAGAAATTGTTTATCTTTTTAACGCAGCTCAGTGCATTATCTTCCCAGAACTTTTTACCAAAGCACCTAAACATAACATTCCCTGCTGGGGTTTAAATCCATAGTTTCTTATTTTTCCATAGAATGGTTAGAGGGGTTTTTTTACTCATTATCGAGGCAGAAGAAAAAGATGTCACACAGAAAGAGTAACCGTAACACCCCTCAGCCTTCTCCTTTCTAAGCA